ACTTAACCTGAGCTCCTAAACAAGAACCGATGCTAAACCCTGAGGCACAACATGGATGCCAAGCGTCGTTTTCGGGTGAGGTCGACCCCAAGCGTTTCTAGCGCAACAGATGGCCGGTGGTTCGCATCTACAGGGGAAGGGGTGTCGTCCTGAGCCGACACTGCGGAGAAAAGAAGAAAGACCTTACCCCTGGTAGGCTTTAGGGTTTGCCACCTTCGGGTTTCAGGGTGCCGGATATGGAATCTAGAAACCAAAAAGCAAGGAATCCACATGAGGCGATCCCCAAATCAAAGACTGAATTCCGCGACTCCTGTGCTGCAAGCAAGCCCCTGGAATGACAAATGGACCTCTCCAGTTCTATGCGCAAAGAACCCTCATCCCGAAGCATCTGCTCTTTGTGAGGGTTTATTTCGGGTTTAGGCTCTACAAGGCTTAGAGGCATCGATCCTAGACCGTGAGATATTCAATATATACGAAGCCGAAGGTTCAGGTCTCCGAGCTGCTGCTTCGGGACGTTGAGCTTTTCATGTGTCAGGGGGCTCAATGGGTCTACAAACAGAGTCTTGGGACTGGTATGACGACCAAGAGCATCCGCGAATGGTGTGGCTGTTGTTGGAATGTAGGGAGATAGACTCATGGTGTCCTGGCGGCAGGCAACTGTAAGCTCGACAGGACAGCAGCTCCGCCGAGACCTGAACTTGAACCTACCGTCTCTAGCGTGGGACCTTACAGTTACCGGGCCCCTACCTGGCCCTACCTGCTATCTTGCGGTTTTGGTGGCTATGGGCAAATGCACCCTGAAAGTTGAAAAAGCAGTAAACATGACATCCCCGACCCTGCAAAAGCCATAGACGTTGTCAAGTCAAGCTACTCAGACTCAAACAAGTGCATCACGCCCCCCAGAAGCGGAAGAGCTCCCGCACCGCACGGCAAGCATACTGCAAAGACTAGAAAACCCTTGAGTCCAGGTTTAGGGTTTAGGGTTTAGGGGCTAGATTGGCTAGATTACCCTTGAGTCCAGCATTTTCCCAATCAGGAGGCTCTGCAACGATGATTGGAACATATATATATATATACATATATATATATAACCCACGACAGACGGAGCATCACACAGCGCAACACGGCTGCCATGGCCTCGACATCAGCGCCGAGACCAAGCGTGAGCCGGAGATCCGGACGTAAAGCAACTAGAAGCATTGAACTGCGCTGAGGGGGCATAGAAGGTCTTCATATAGGGTCTATAGGGCTTAGGATTGTGGGTTGGGTGCTTTTGGCTTTTGTTTTTGGAACCTGGATTCACCGCTTCAGACTGCATACCAGCGCAATCTAGCACAGCCACCAGCTACGAAGACAGAGGAATTGATACATGGATTCTGGAACCGCCTTGAGCAGTGAAGCCGCAGAGTCAGAGGGTCGATAGAACAAACCCACAACACCCTTTAAAGAACCGGATGTACATAACGCCATAAATCAGTTTAAAGAACCAGTCCATGGAGATCAGACACGGGCCGAATTGGCTAGACTTGGGTTCTGGCCACCTGCATCCCTGTAGATGCCGTAAAGGATGAACAATGTGAACTACCGAGGCACATCAACAACCAAAGGCTGTGTATTAATCTATCTGTCGACGTGTGTGGATAGTGGGACCCTCTCTCTCTCTCTCTCTGCCTCTGCTGCTGCATATGCTCATGTATGTAGGTATGTCTACAAGTTGTCTGGCTTTTGATAAACTTGAAACCCATATCACTGCATAGTCTGGGCGCCTACTTCAGTCGTGCCTACTTCAGTGGCGCGTGAATGTACGAGCCGAAAATCGAAGCTCCGATATTATATATGATATCGGGGTCTCAATGCATAGAACCGGGTGTTGGGACATATTATGCTATTGTATCCGGGACTGAAGGGATATGATTACTATTCAGTCCGAATTCGACATCAGCTTTCAGGTGGAGGTTTTCGGGTGTGACAGATATTTGAGCCATGGGCTGTTTCGGCTTAAAGATTGTTCGTTTTAGTTTAGGGCATGGTCTGGGGATTGCTAGACACCAGAAGTTATAGACCCTGAGACCTGCTCATTCAAATAGTCAACATCATGGAAAGTCCAACAACCGCCATGACCACTGTCTAGCTCTAAGGCTTGGGTGGGAAACAAAGAACTATAACGCCCAAACGCCATCCGTGCTTAGGGATTTGTTCAGGGTGTGTGGACAGCGGTCTGCCGCTTTTTCCCGGCGATTTCTCTTGAACGGCCAGCGCAATGTAGGTGCATCGGAAACGTTCAGTCCATACACAGGACACCAGACTGTTTGAATCTATGGAACACCCACTGAGGACAGCACAAAACACCATGAAACTCCACCAGATGGCTGCATAGATTCCCATGGGCAACGACATCTTCGACAAGCAATCTCCACCAAAAGAGCCAATGCCTTTGACAAATGAGCTTTGCCCTTGGTGTCAAGTCTAAAACGTTTCTGGGTCCCAAGGGGATTGAGAGTCCCTGGAAGCCTACTTAGGACGAGGTTGTCTGGAATTCAGTGGTACGGTCTGGGATCTGGGATTTGGGGCTTCGGCTTCTGCTTGTGGATTTAAATGAAAGTCACCGGGGCAGTGTATTTTTGACTTCTTTTCATACGTATACTGATTTCTGTAAACGCACACAGCATGCCAGATAATCCAGTCGGACTGTCTTCTGGGTTCAACCATCATTCACAGATTAGGGCTCGTGTATCTTTGTAAGAGGAGGTCTTACGACTGATGGACAACATCCTGCCGTACCCGCACCCTTGTTCACATAGTTCGGGTACCGGCAGAATTTGCCCATCAGCATTAGCAAGAATTTCCGCATATGCATATATATATATGTATACATATCGATCGTACTGATGAAAAATCATTATCTAGTTTCTGTACAATAATCGTAGGCTACTTCTCTTTTTAAAAACCCAGACCCGCAAGAAATCAGCCCACGTTATGCAGGGGTTGTGATTTTGGGCGTCATGAACTCAACCATGAGACTGTGTTGTTTACTTGAGGCTGTTGGCTTCAGAGGCTCCGGGATTGCCGGGGTCCTGTAGAGGTTGCCAGCTGTAGGTTAGGGTTGAGGCTTCTGAAGGTAAGGGTTTCGGTTGATAGACGTGGAGGGCTTAATCATCTCCATCCTTAGGGATCCTTTTGAGTGTTTCTGTTACCAACAGCCGGAGAGATGGCCAAAGCATAGATCCCTCCCCCATCTTAGAGCACACAACAGGTGATCAGACAACTAGCCTGGAGAGCATAAGGAGATGAAGGATCTCAAGGCGCAGTGCCTTGCATCTACAAGGGCATGTGCTTTTTGGAACAATGTCTTGGAAGGATAAGAGCTCCAACCCTAAACCCTAAACCCGAAACCCTAAACCCCTAAACCCTATAACCCTAAACCCCCTAAACCCTAAACCCTACCGAAGAAGTCTGAAGTCGGTCCTCGTCATCCTCTAGGACCCAGCATGCAAAAGTCGCCAAATCGGCGCGGCCGCGCCAAGGGTCACAGCAGCAAAACGGTTAGACTATGCTTTTGTTGTTATGCTTTGGTCTTCAGGGCTCTTAGGTTCAGGGCTGCAGGGTCTACACAGGGTGCAGTATGTGCACCGGACAAGGCGCACAAAGGACAACCAGCAAGCTCAACCCATAGTCATAGTCGCGTCGTTTTGCTAGCATTGTAATGTCTATGCTCACGCCCGTCACTCCGGGTACCATCCTCCTAGTGTGCGATGTTCGCCAATAGTTGCTGCTGCAGCTCTTCGTTAGACTACTTCTATACTATCCTTGCCACTCGCCCCCGTGCTACGATGTCTGCCACTAGAACTGTAGCTGAGACATCGAACGTTGTTCCCAAGGCCCCACCGATTCTCTTATGGTACCGCAAGCTTTTTCGGCTCCGGGCATCAACATCCCTAAGCTCTAAACCCCTAAGCCCGGAACCTCTACTAGGTTCCCCAGTACCCCCTTAATAATAAGGGTACCCTTTTTCTTACCTAGGCCCGGCAGTAGAGGGGCTTCAAAAAGGATGCCCTTTTTGATGGTTTTCAGGTTGGCTGGGGGCCATGGGACACAGCTATATCTGTCAGTGACTCACGCATTTTTTTCGCAGGCCGCTGTCTCGAAGGTGCCATCAACGTCGGTCGCTGACCTGGCATGTAGTGAATAGGGTTTAGGGTTCAGGGTTTAGGGTTTAGGTTCTAGGTTTTAGGGTTTAGGGTTATCCCGCCCCAGGAAATTAGCAAAACACAAGCCTGTGTACAGCTCTAATCAGTCCTTCCAGCCCTGACGGGGTGAGCTCTATGACGAAGACATGAACTGCACCTTTCTCCGCGAGAACTCCCCCTCTGGCTGTTCAGCCGTCGTGTCAGTGAGCCGTGATTGTCACGCTCACACTTTGACCAAGAACCAGTCACCGGGGCTGCAAAGCTTACCTTTAACTTTTTAGACTGACTTAGGGCAGGGTGTCTCAAGTCTGAGTACCAGCATTTGGGCTTAGGCAGCTCCACGGCACCGGACATTCCAAACCACGGCACAGCTTTCAAGACCACCTGAGACCGATGCTGGTGTGAAATGAAACGACTGACTTGCCAACCCAAATACCTAAACCAAACCGAATGGAATGCAAAATAGAAGATGCCAGTGCAGGTGGAACTGCTGAGTGATGGCATGGAGGAAACTCAAGTAGCGAATCTCTTTGCCAGGCAACTTGGTGTCGGAAGCCTTCTTCTTGGCAGCAGACTTTGAAGGCTCGGCCACAATCCACCAGGCAGTTGTGCGAGACCTCGGTTTTTGCATTGGAACTTCCAGTGCAACATTTCAAGGGGCAAGTTATGAATCATAACTTGTAGTATTGAAGTTCTCCTTATTATTANNACCCAGGACGCAGTTGCAACACATGTAACGCCAGACGTTTCAAGTACCAGCAGCAGCAGTGCACAGTCATCGTCGGCTACATTAGAGATGCAATGCACGCAGTTTTACGAGGATGATCTCACACCCGAGGACACTGGAACATATTTATGCCAAACAAGGACAAGTCTCAGCTCAGACCGAGCAGTTCTGACCACCCACTCCCTGGCCCCGGCTGGGTGGCTTTCAGCGGCACTTATGACCTTTAACAACCCTTCCCGTTGCTTCACAGATTCGTCGAATGCCAGCTGCCTCGGAAGTCGCAGTGCCCTTCCGAGCATCGTCACAGGGCGGACGATTTTGCCTGCCTGCTGGCACGCACGGAGCCACGAGGGGCCTGCTACGTGGCCTCCTAGCAGGCGGCTCATTGCCGTGCTGAGCTCCGGGGAGGTCTCGGATTTGTAGAAAAGCAAAACATCCTCTGCAGCATCAGTGAGGCCGTACCAGACTGTAAAGCTGGCCTCCAGGCATTGCTTGACCAAGTTCTTAGCGGTCAGAGGTACGACTCTGGGACCGCCGAGGTCTTTGAGAATCCGGCCAGCTTCTTTTGCCATCCGGTCGATGCCCTCAATGCTTTTCACCGTGGGCACCGCAATCACCAGGCCTTTGCTGCAGTCCGTCATGCACTCTGCTGCACTAAGGTCTCTGACTTGGATGCTTCTCAGCTTTGTCAACCTTTCGTTCTCACTCTTGACTTGTTCCCGGAGCTTCTGCCTCGAAACCTCATCCAGATTCGTGAGGAGACGGATTTTCGCAGTCACACGATCTGCAAGGCTGCTGCTCAACTTCTTTTGTTTTTCGGTTGTCCGCTCTGCTGCTGACTGGTTGACCTTGTCGAGGCAGCTTTCCAGCTCCGTTGGATCCACTCCTGAGGCGGCAACGTCACCCGCAGCCTCGATGCTGTCCTTTTGCTGCTGTCGGATCCGCATCAAAGCAGCCATGCCAGTCTTTCCAACCTTCCCGGGTGCCATCCGCTTTGGCAACCTGATGTCGGGCAGCTGGCCAGGTTTCGGCTTGCGGGTGTTGCTCCTGCCACCGTAAAGTCTCTGGTACATTCGCATTACCTTCAGGGGAAAAAGTCCTGGTCTGGTTCAGGGGAAGATCTGCTCGGGACCGGGACCTACAGGCAAATGGAAAGGCAAATGAAAGTTTCTGAATGCCGCCCGGCCTTGAGACCGAACGGTGTCAAGCTGTAAGAGCGGTCACCCCTCACGGAATGATGGGCGACTGCGACCCCATCCAAAAGAACTTTGAGACAGCTCCGGCGGTTCCTCGTGGTCATGCTCTGCCGCTGCTCGTGCCCGTAGCCTCGCAGAGCCGCGAGGTTCTGCTCGAGGACCCCTGTGGACTCGAACAGAGTGAGCAGCAGAGACACCTGAGTTCTGAAAGCAATGGGGATCGCTTCTGAGTCTTATGCTTGCCAGCATGCAAACGCGACTCAGCTTATGACGCACTGTGGCAGCACTCTCAGCTTCGCCGCCCAGTGCAGCATGACTTGGCCCCAGTACTCCGTCGGAGAGTGGATGCCAGCCCTCAG